AGTATATATCATAGTATATATGTATATATTGATAGTATTTTTTTTTAAATGCAAATGTGCATGTGAAAAGAGACGATCCACACAGAAAGGTGAAACATTTTACTTTGTTGTGTAACTGTATTCATGCTGAATGGGAAATATGAATTGCAGAAGTGAATGAACTGCAGAGTTGATAGAGCATATTTTTTATACAGTGAGATCCTCTTCCTAACTTCATACATATTTCCACTTGAATTACTGATCCCCTGACTAATCAAGTACGCTGTATCACCATGTCATCTCCCACTTATGTTCTTTGTATATGATATTGCATATCTCCACCTCTTGAATCTAATTCAGGAGCAATAACACTGAGTGAAATACAAGCAGCAGAGTCCTGCTCTCATTAGCAGAAATAATATCCAGCTACTGCTGTGACCTTTCTTAGAAGAATATATGATTTACTACACCAAGTTGGACCATCGTTCCTTCCAGACCAATACCCAGCTTCAAAGGATGGCAAAAAATCCATATCTCAATACCTGTGCAATCTTGCAATTCATCTAATGGAGCAAAAAACCCTTTCTTCATCTCCGCAGTGAGGATCTGGTATTTTCAAGAAAGGAATTTGATCTTTCCCTTTTAATCTTTGTATGTCCTAATGCAACATACACCCCTGACACTTAAGTTTCAGGCATGCACCTCCATTTTTTGCAGGCTGCAGAGGGGCTTTGCTGACCCCCTCAGGCCATCACCAGACCTCCTTGAAGAGCAGCTCACAGAGCACCCATGTGGCTCAGTGCAGCTGGGCCATGATGAACATCCAGGTTATTCTGAAATGAGCCTTAGCTGAAGCCAGGTTCAACTCAAGACAGCTAAGAGGCAATAGAAACTTTTGTTCCAGAAACCAAAAGGAAGCTATTGCTAGTCTGTAGGAAGGATGAACAGAAATGAAAAGTAACAGCTCAATTCTATTTCCGTAGCAACCTTACATCCACTCCAGAGGCTTTGCCAGCCCTGTATAACCCAGCAGGTAATAAGAGCAGCACGTTACAGCCTTTCTGGCTGGTTTATATGTAACCTTACATCCTTGGGCTGTGCTCACAGGAGAAAATCTGGGTGTGGAAACTCTTACTACCTTTCATAGGCCAAGTCTACCTTGGGAATTATTCCCATTCAAATCTGACCCTTTGTACCCCCAAACCAGTAGCAGGTCCCCCATACAGGAAATGCTGACTCCCTTGATCGTGGCCTAGTTTGGTTCTCACTTGCTCAGATGATAAACTGAGACAGTAGCTGCACAAGCCCCTCTCCACATTTACTTACTCTGAGGCACAGTGTCTCTTTTTCTTCAACTGAGCAATGGTGAAAAAAATCAGAGTAAAGCTTTCCTACAGGTAAATGTAATAATTGCTTTCTAATTGTGTGTTACCTGCTCACATAACAAATCAGTGCAAGTTCCTCATTACAAGCTCTTATTGGAGATCAAGCACAAGGGTAGCCAGGCACTTGGAGGTAATAATGTGTTTGAAGGGGGCATAGGTAATAAATAATCCAAATTACTTTCAGTGAACAGATGAAATGACTGAGATACCCTCAGGGTTTGTAGAAGTTAGTCAGCCTATGCATAACTGTAACATCCCTTCTGGCTGGGGTATCAACATTTCTGTACCTGCAGCTGCAGCATTTAAGCACAGCTTTTGCAAGTAGAGAAAAAAAGGTCTGCATCATCACAGCAGAAGGATCCACGAGTAGGGTGCTCTGCTCTATCTCCTCACCAGTTGTCATACAGTGTGTTAACAATATTTGAAATCGGCCATGGACCACAAGTTACTGGGAAAGGCAGACAGAGAGATAGACAATGTATTCCTATAACTGTTTCCTTAGAAAAAGCAAGCTAAAAATGACTGTGCTGTAATGAAAGAGTATCTTGAGTCTAGAATAAGTGTCCTTGATTGATAGATAAGTTGGTGTAAATTGCTTAGAGCTGGAGGCTTAGTCCTGAAGAAATTAGGTTTGGAAAAGACATATCATCTGGTGCTGGAATCAAAAGCCTCTAACTTGGTTACCTCCAACTGCAAGCGGGAGGGTTTTAAAAGGAGTGCAGCAGGTCGAGGAGCTGTGATTTTTTTGGGAAAAGGCTTATGTATGAAGAACTGGCTCCTGCTTCTTCATGCTACCTGCCTCAGCAGGCACCAGACGTCTTGCCTTGCAGGGGTCAGGTGCAGCTGATCAGTAGCGTGCTGTTTCTTTGAGAGGCAGCAGCTCCTAGCTTCAGCTGAATTAGTGCTTGCCCACTTACCCTCTAATATGGGAAAGAAAAATGCTTCCCAATGCACTACGATGGAAAGGCTGCCAAGGCCCTGCTCTAGCCCACTCTTCATGCCAGTGAAATGTTGCTCTCTAAGGCTTGTTGTTTGGTGTTCAGTAGAAACTGGGTCTGAATGTCCAAAGCAGTGGGATTTCCTCTCCAGGAAATTATCGAAATACAGAGACTACATTCCACCTTTTCAAACATCACTTTTATTTATCTCTTTATTGTACTAAACAAATCCTCATTTTGCTTTATGATGATGCCATCCAAATAGATAGAGGGATACGGGTGGGATTCATCTTACCTAATTTTCATCACCTGAAAGCTGAACATCTAGTTAAAGCTCATCATCCTCTATGTGTGTGACCTTTTTTGTAGTGGCAAGAGGAGCCTCTCTGGGGTTTTAGTCAGCTTGTGGATGGGGTGAATTGCCTGCCAGAGCCACAGCTACCTGAGACTAAGCATAACTTTTACATATCTGAAGTTACTCCCTGTTTTGGGGGAGTTGTGAGAAACCTTTTTAAGATGGCTTTGAATCCTCCTTTCCCCCTTCTTATTGCTGCTTGTGAAATGGATACCCTTGCTTGAGTCAGCATCTGTGACACCAACTACATCCTCTTTTTGGCAAGATCCTATTTTAAGCTTTCCATCAGAGGCCACAGCTATTTGTGTCATTGTCAAAACTCTTCAAAAGGTCCGGTGACATTGATGGTAGGTCTTTTAGAAGCCAAAGGTTCTGCAGTAACATAAATAGGATCAGCAGCACTAAGTGCAGGTGAAAGAAAAGCCAGCTGCACATCCTTTCTGTCTCCCTTGGCAACAACATCCTGCCAACAAAAACTGCTGCCAAGTAAAGGCTGGAAAGGAAGGGATGTGCATTTGCAAAGCTGGGGCTGGACAAGCTTTGTGTGAGGGGGGAGCTGTCAGATCAAGGAACACTCGTGTGCTTTTAAAATTATTTTTGATTTGTTCCATGTGGTTTTGGACAAGGGAATGTGCAGAGCCTCTGTCCTTATGAAGAGTTTTCATCTGAAATTCCAGATGATGGTCTCTGCAGTTTTGACCCATATGTTTCCATCCATGACAGCACCCAGGGAAGAAATCTGTGGTGAGTTACTACTTACAGATGTGGCAAATCCTCCAGCAAAGGTTAAAATACATGCATGGTTCTCTTGTTACGCCAGCTGCAGCTTCATGCTAAATCATTGTTTCAGCAGCAAGCTCTTAATCAGTCCTAAGTTGTAGGAACTGCTAAACAAGATGATATTTTTAAGGACTGATTTTTTTTATAATGCACTAAATGTCTTTATTTAGAAAAACTTTCAGACTGGAAACAGGGTGAAAACTGAACTGCAAATGACAGGGAGAAAAGGAGCATCATCACGAGAGCACAAAACTGCAAAGCCGTTCTAAGATTATTATTTGTACTCTGTCTTTCCATGTCCTCCATGAAATCATCATGGCTGTGAAAACAGAGTTTGTGTAAATAAAGGTAAAATATACTTGTGATATAATGTATGTCTCTGCCTAGCCTTCCTGATGAGGACATCAGTCTCCAAAAATCAGCACTGGGGTCACTGTCAGAGGCCCTGTAGCTGCTAGTGTTGCCAAATCCCAAACCTATCATTGCAGCATCATTCCTTTCTGATCTGGCCACAGCATCAAAAAAGAAGTCTGGCTGCAACATGCTTGTATCCAAGGCCTGAAAAAAGGAGGATCTTCTCATCTGGTATGATACAAGAGAAGAAGGAATTGGCTTTTCTCTCTAGCAAAATATTAGGTATTAATTTTGTGAGGAGCCCATATAACAAACTGCTCAGGCTGTTGCAGCACCCCTGGATACAACAGGGACTCTGAATCAGAGACTGAGTAGTGGTGATTGCCCTCTGACTCCTGGCGGATTCCCATACTGCTGTCAAGAAGTGCACAAGTTGTTGCTCTCTTACCATTTCCCCATCCTTTTTGAGGGGTTGATAGTTGGCTGCACAGGGCACATTTTTGTGCTCTTTGGGCAATGTGTTCTTCCACACACCCAGCTGTGCCAGAGAGAAAGATAGGAGCAGAAAGAAGAATAAATAGAAGAAGGGAGGCAGGATTATGGCTTTAGGAATCACAGGATCTGTGGAGTTCTTAATGGTTACAAAGTAGAAATGGCCCATTCGCCCTTGAGGAGTGAAGAAATAAAATACAAAACATGCATTTTGATGCCAGGGAAGGAGAAGGAGAGAAGAAGGTCACTATTTCTTTCCCCATATTTTCCTCTGACAGGAATAATAAGATCATTAGAGATAATTGAATGAAGTAGAAAGTCTGGTGGAGGTACAGAAGCGGGAGGTAGATCTGTAAAATCCATCCACACACAAAAACCTAAACACTGCACTGGAGGGAGGGCACTCTGCTTTGAAATAGGGACTGAACAGCCTCACAAGGGCGTGCAGCTGGGGTGCTTGTTGCTGTTTTGTTCCCAGAAAACGAGAACTGCCAGCAATCCGCTGGCATCTGAATAGACCCGTGTCAGACAAACCGTATCTGGACTTGATGGGAAACCAAGCTGGAATACCAAGCAGCCCTTCGATCTGCTGGCAGAGAGGGGGACTGGCTCAGTAAGTAATCTTGCCTTGCAGTTGCAAAGGTACTCCATAAAGGAGTGAGCCCTCTCGCTGCACAGCCCTGCAAGACACGCCTGCCTGGGCTGTCTCTGTCCTCGTTCCTCCAAACCAGTTCCAACAATAACAGCAACTCCTGCGTGCAGCTGCCTCGTTAGGGAGATGTATTTTTCCTTTTTCTGCTGAGGGATGAAGCTTCCAAATCTGTGTGATGTGAGCAGGTGAGGATGTCTGCTGACAAGTCCAAATGATATTTTCAGGTAAGTGATTACCTTGAACAAGCAGCTAGAGTCAGACTCTTCCTTTTTATTACTCTCCTCTTAGTAATTACTGTTGTCCTAGATTGTCAGGAAGCCTTTTCACAAGGTTCAACAGCTCGGTTGTCTGTATATATTTAGCTGAATAGGGGATCTGAAGCATTTCTAAAGCACCTATTCCCATAGTATTTGTGACTCTCTAGTGCAGTGTGAGAATGAATTGAGCTGCCTGCTCTGTGACTACATGACACTGTCCTGTTTGTATCACCCATTGTTTCACTCCCTAGAGGACCAGAAATGAATTTTGATTTACAGGCTTACTCTCTTGAAGTCTGTGATGAAAGTGCATCTTAGAGGCAATAATAGTGTTCTGCTATGTTTTTATATTGTTGAAGGACTGGGACATCCTGCCACATGAAAACTGTAGCTACCATTACTGTTGTTGCACAAGGAGTGTCAGCAAGTACCACTTAATTTGTGTTCGTACATGTGATTGCCAGAGCTTCTGCTGATGCTGTTTTATGTTATTGCAAATAGAGCTGTTATTCTATGTGTCTCATTCCCTGCATTTTACCAAATACCTTGTGTATTGAAGTTGGGGTTGATCGCCCTGTCTAATACTTACAAGGGAAAACAGACAATAACTTGTAAGTTAGTGTCTGGGAGTTCTGACGTGACAGCCACTGATAGATAGGCAGGGAAGAGAAATTTCCTGTGCAGAGTAACCTACTTTTTCTTCCCTTAGTTCTGCCACCAATCATGGAAATGAAATTTGCTTAACTCTTTGTTTGTACAAAGGCTGCTTTATTGTGAGTGAAAATCATATTGCTTTGACAGATTACAAAGAAATGACCACAACAAAAATGACCATAACCAAAGTAACAATATATGCTTTCTTCACAGTTCCCATCTATTAAAGATTCATTTTGCTCCCTGTGACATTTTAGATTTGCTGAGAGACACATAAGATGTTAATAGCGTTGTGAAGAAAGCTTTCTTTACAACAATAAAATTGCTGTTACTTTGAACAGGTTTTGCACAACCTTCTCTCACTATTAGTGAGTCCAGTCTGCTGGAAGTACGGAGAGGCTTCAGCATCCCGTACACTGCCCATGTGCATACAAGCCCTGGATCTGTAGATAATGGGTCCTTTGTAGGATGACTCCCTTTCCTTCCCTTGCCCACGGCAGTCTGAAATAATGAGTCTGGCAGTACATCTCTGCACAAAAATCTCTTCCTGACTTCCTAGAGCAAAAATGTTTGCCAAGTACTGCTCAGGGTGGCTCTGTTTGCCTTGCTGTAAGGTCTGAGGTAGCAGAGGCCAGAAGAGGTCAAACACCAGACTGAGCTCATTGTGCATATTCATTTGCTGTAGAAAATGGGAATGTGCAGCTCAAAAGTTTCCACTGTATCTCTGGCAATTAGGACTTGGTCCAAAGCCCACTAAAGTCATTGGGAACCTTTCCACAGGCTTTAAATCAGAAGTTACGTAAGTTTGTGTTGTTTAAAGGGGGTGCCCCAGGGAGGTTGAACGCGTCAGCTGACTCGATAGCAGCATGCCTGCTCTGCCATGTCATGCAAAAAGGCTGTTCTCGAAGTGCCGATGAAGTGTCCCATGCAGCATCAGGCGGTACTAACTCCTAAGTGCAGCCTTTTAATGTCCTGTGCCAGGACACTGGCTCCTAGTGAGGGCTCCTGAGGTCCTCAGATAAAACAGTCAAAGAACATCAGCTGCTTGAGCCCAAATCGCTTTGTTTTTCTTGTTTGGAGGGAGGCAGTTCTGGCTCCTGCGTGCAAAGAAAAGGGTTGTGAGGAAATTCACAAATGGTAGGACCCTGCAGATTTCATAGTCTGGGAAAGCAAAATATTCCTAACCCCTGACTTTTTCGAGACTCACTGAAGACATCAACCGCAGTCTTTTAAAACACTGCTGTAAAGGAACTCCTTCATTTTCTTCACGTACACAACTATACACACCATCTCTGGACTCCTCATGTGAGTATACAATGGGAAGAAACACTGCAGGGAGATCCTGTTGAGATTTGAACCATTGCACCACGTTGTCGGGAAGGAGTTCTTATGGCTAAATGCACATCAGCACCCTCTGTGTTCACTCTGCTGTGCTTCATCCTTGAGTTAATTCATTTTGTACTTAATATTCCCTTCTTGGTGCTCTATGCAAGACCACAGGATGACACAGTTCACACCACAGAGATATCAGGTCAATCAGCCTTCTCATTAGGGTTGAATGGTTTTAATGTAGTCATAAAATTAGACTCCAAAATTGAGAATTTGACACAGAGCATTTAAAAGCCAAACCAGTTTGACCCCTTCTGAGCATTAGCTCCTATACCTTAGAAATGGCCCCTTATGAAAAAACTTAATAGTGTGAACTGACCTTTGAAAATATAATGAATCATTATTATTTGCTATAATGTGCTTACATCAATCTGTATTACCATTATGCCAGCAGATAGTAAGGACTGCCAGTCCTTACCCCAGAGGGCTCAAGCTCTAAGTCAGATCAGTCCTAGGAGTCCTAGGCAGCTGAAACTGAAGGATTTTGGCAAAGAGCAGCACGACTGCACTTTGAACTGACCGAGACCTTTTGCTATGTACGGTTGGACTTGATGATCTTAGAGGTCTATTCTAACCTAATGATTCTATGATTCTATAATGATTCTGTGATCTCACCTGGGATATCAAAGCTTGGCCATGGCAACTTGATAGCAACCAGAAGGTTTCCTTTCAGTGGCAGTCTGATTGAGGGTAAGCTGAGGCACCGGGGGACAATTGGCATCTACCCAACATGGCCCTTTTCTCAGTGTGCATGCATTTGTGAAGTAGAAACAGAGGTTGGGAAGGTGTTGTGGTTTTGGCCCACTCAGCTGGCAACAAAGCTGCTCACTCACCCCTACCCACCCCAGCCCTCAAATACAACCAAAAGGCTCCAGGGCTGAGACAAAGGACAGGAAGGGCTCGCCCACCAGTTATGGTCACCAGCGAAAACACTTGGGGAAACAGCATCAATTTTGTTTAAACACTCCCACAAATTTACCAATCAAATCAGAGTAGCATAGTGAGAAATACAACAAGTTCTTAAAACCACCTTCCCCCTACCCCTCCCTTCTTCCCAGGCTCAACTTCACTCCCAGTTTCTCTACTTCCTCCACCCCTGACACAGGGGGGCAGGGAATGGGGTTTTCAGTCAGTTTTTCATGCATTGTCTCTGCTGCTCCTTCCTTCTTAGGGAGAGGGGCCCTTGCAGTCCTCCCCTGCTCCAGCGTGGGTCCCTCTCATGGCAGACAGTCCTCCACCAACTTCTCCAATGCAATTCCTTCCCACGGGGCCACAGCTCCTCACGAACCACCCCAGCGTGGGTCCCTCCCGGGGCTGCCACCCCTCCCAGTGAAGACGTGCTCCAGTGCAGGCTGCCTCAGAGCCACAGCCTGCTCTGGTGTGGGGTCCTTCCTGAGCTGCAGGTGGGCATCTGCTCCACTGTTGATAACCATGAGCTGCAGGGGGTCAGCTCATCATCTCACCACTGGCTGCAGGGGAATCTCTGCCCTGGCGCACCTCCCCACCTACTTCTTCATTGATCTGCGTGTCTGCGGGGTTGTTTCTCTCACATTCCCCTCCTCTCCACTCTCCCAAAACAAAGAGTCTTGCCTCACATGTTTTGCCTTCTTCAATATGTTTATTTGCAGAGCTGCTGATTGGCCTGGCCTTGGCCAGAGGTAGGTCCAAATTGGACTTCTCAAAGCCTCTTACAGGAGCCACCTCTGTAGCCCCCTCCCCACTACCAAAACCCCACCAGACACAAACCCAACACAGAAAGGAAGAAATTTGAAGGGGTTGGTTAAGTCCATTTCTGTGACAAATGCCTCCTGCGCCTTAGTAGAGAAATTCTGAATATCATTTTCCTAGGCTTAAGCCAGTATTGCCAAACAAGGCAGTCTAATATCGAGGACCTCCATAAAAGTCCCACTTTGTAAGACATTGCATATCCTCAAGTGATAGAAAAGTAAGTGGGAGCTCTGGGCAACCAGGTCACTGCAAATCCAGCCAGAGCATGCTTAGGTGATGATGCAGAGCATCTGAAATTACCGATTCCAGATTTACTTTTGCTTTCTAGTTTGCTGTTGATCAATTATAAAGCAAATTAATTCTACTTAAAAGGGCCAGCAAATCCCACTGTGCAGTCGTTGTTATCAGTTTATTCTTCCTAAAAATACAGCACTGGCTATTTTTTCAATGATTCACTAAGCTGAATATTTTTTCAGGAGGTAGGGACACAGATTAGCTCTTATTGTCACTGAAGGAGTTGCTGTGGTCCATTCAAACAGTAAAAAAAAGTCCTGAGAAGCTGTAGCTTATGGGCCTACAGTGGCTCTGCAGAGGCTGTTAAAGGGAGCCTAGCAGATGAGCAAAACCTGACTGCCACAGCCTGAGACAGCAAAATGTCATGGGTATTATTCTTTATTGTCAGGTAAATTGCTTCTGATGTAGTATTTCCTTTGAATAATTATTCGTAGTTTACAAGCCACCCAAAGGTACTAGCTAAATGCATCCGGCTTCCCGTGCTTCATGTGTGGTGAACTGCTACCACAGCAGACTACCCCAGAGAGATTACAAATCTTTATAGCAGCAAGCTTCTGATTTATCAGTATTTCAAGAAGTGGAGATGGATATTGGGTAGGTTTTTAGCCAAAGATCAGGGTTTCTAATCGCAGGGCACAATATGCAGAAAAGCCAACAATTTCCTTATTCCTTAAGGAATATCCTGAAGAAAAACCTTAACCCAATAGAGATGTTTTTCTGTGCATGTGTAAAGAAAGTAGTTACACAAAGAACATCCAAAAATTTTAGCAGGTATTACAGTCATTATAATCTAGTATCTCATAAGATCTGCCAATGCACTTTATCTTGTGTGCTCAGAACAGCAGGCCTAAAGTTTCCTGAAACATTATCTTCACACACCAAATCCAAAATAAATGGTCATCCGTTCCTCTTTGAATTTGTTCTGTGGCAGCAACTTGCCTTGGCATGAAATATTAGCCATATGGACCCTAGAATATCTGCTTTGACCTTGACCTCAGAACAAGTGCTGCCAAAAATGTGAAGAAAACTCCTGCCTTTCATTTCCAAGAGTGATGCTCCACAAGTATAGCATGATCCGCTCTCTTGGTTGCATCTTAGTGTACAGAATATTTTTTTTTCCTTTCACTAAGTAAGTGTTCTGCTAAGAGCATATTGTCTGCGGCTGACTAGGAACTGGAAAGCAGAATGCCAGACGATGGCTTATTTGGCAAAGATATTTATTTCAGAAATAAATAAAAAAAGAGCTAGTTTTAGCATCAGGCAGTGGAAAGTGCATTGCTTGTAATTGTCTCTTACTACATTATCCAGTCAGTGTTTTCATCTTCTGGTTACTCTGCGAAGTAACAGGAGACTGCTGGGGACAAGATGAGGTCATCTTTTTAGTTGCAGAGCTCTGCACTGTTGTGGTTCAGAAATGATGGTTAGTGATCAAAGTAGAGCATTTAGCTGGGTGAGGGGAATAGGTACTGCTCCTTTGGTGGGTTTTTGCTATGTGTATTGAACTGCTTGTGAATGGGTGTGAATGGTGCACAGGATTCAGAATAAACACGTTTCATGGCATTTGCATCTGCCCAATGTGCAGCAGAACCCTAGGGCTCAGTGGACATCTAATTAGAGATCTTTTTTCACTTTCCCAAGTCCCTGTCTTCCTTTTCTGCTGGTACCCTTAGCAGATATTCCGAAGCAGGGTAGAACTAAATGGCATAACAACGCTCACGGAGAAAGCTGGCAAGCCTGGGAAGGGTGGAGAAGGGGGCAGGAAGGTACTCCACTGTCTTGGCTGGAAGGCGATCCCAGTTTGAAGTCCTGCAGCTTTGACGAACTCATCTCCCTGATTTGTTAAGACTGTGACAACATTTTTCACCTTGACACCGCTGGTTGAAATTCACACTCACACAGTGCTAATGGTGCCATCTGATGATGCTCAGTGGACTGTGCAAAATGGATTTATTCTGTGTACTTCCTAGTGGGCAGAGATCCACATTAGACTCGACAGCTTCAACATATGGAAACGGTGACGTGTGATTGATGTGGTCCCTGCAGGTCACACCAACTCATGGTGTATTAGCCCTACATCCCGGGGAGGCTTATGCTACTGCAGCTGCCCACGTCCATTATCTGGCCTAGGAATAAAGGAAGAATTGATGTTCCCACTGATGTGAATCTGGCACCTCATGAAATGATGTGCACTACAGAGGGTGGCAGGAGGCAAATTTCACACAATCCAAGCCCATGGTACATGTGAGCACAGAATAGGTTACACCCAAACATTTGTATATGGGTGCGAAGGGCAAGTTGTGTTAGTCAGACCCCTAATAGTCACGTGGCTTTAAAATGGCTGTGATAGCTATGTTTTCTTGTTCATTTTTAACATCTGAGATTTTCCATATCTCATACTCTAAAATAAGTGACTAGATTTTCCGAAGTTGCTAAGGACAGCATACATAACCCAGGAAGCCCTCTCATCAGACACCCCTTCTTGACCTAATTTTCAGCAAGGGCTAAGCAGCTGCTCTCTCAAAAAACAGATTGCTTAATGGCATCCAAGACTGGAGGCAGCCAAATTTAGGATTTTGCAGCCAAAAGAATAAGTGGAATAAGGTTACCCATAATGATGTGGACATTCACCTAGAGGCCTTCCGGCCAAAACAAAAATAAAAACTTTTGTTTCTACCCCTAAAAAGTAGAATGCTTTGTAGCTTTTACAGGGAAATCACCTGCCTATGGCACTTTAAAGCACTCTCCTGAGTCCATACTGCAAGCTCCTCTCTCCCTTTGCTGCAGAGATTCCCTGCAACCTTCCCGTTCCCACCTCGCTGCTCCCACGGCCACGGGGCCACTGCAGCCCTTGCAGATTTTCCTTTCTCTTCCTACTTTCCCAGAGGAGCTGAAAAAGTTGGATGCTAACTCTTCTGTCCTTCTGCAGAACATGGAAGGTATACCTTCCTGCCAGATGCGCAAGCTGCGCCCTTCCCTGTCCGCTGGCCCCTCCCTGATGTCTCACCCTCTCTCTGTGTTTTTTCCTCCAGGTGTTCTACTGATCTTGGCACTGACAGAAGAGCTGGTGTTTTCTGTTCAGGTACTGTCTCCCACTGTCTCCTCCTCTCAGGGCTTCCCAATGGACACTACCACTATTACAGCCATGGGAACAACACGTCACCACAAAGACCGCCATGCGGCAGAGCCCCTTCCTACATCTGCTCGTGCCATCCCCCATCCCATCAGCCTGGCGGAGAAAGCCCTTTCCACCGGGCAAAAGCAAGCGAGCAGCCCTCGCGTCGGCAAAAAGGAAACATATCATTTATACAACCAGAGTGCTTTGTACTCGGGACAGACTCGCCCCAAGGGGAAAATATTCCAGGTTTTCAAAGGCAACTTCACAGAGTCCTCAGAGCCTTACCTAAAGACGACCCTGCACTCTCCCTTTCCTACCCTGAAGAGCCCTTTCACAGACCACCCTTTTCAGTCCCAGACCACAGCATCCAGCGATCCAAATGGCACGGGGCTGGCAAGAACTACACACTCAGACCCTTCCCACCATAACGCCTCGGGAAGCCTTAGGGAAGCAGAGCGAGGGGATGGGGCCGAGCTAGTGGTGCAGGAGGCAGATTTTGCCACCACAACTGCTGGACCATCGACTGATCCTGAAGCAGTGTCGGTGCCTTTTAAACCCACTCACTACGGCGTATGGGATATGCTGAGCAAAAACAACTCTTGGGTGACCTTGAATCTCAGTACAAATGTCCCTCTGTTTGCTGGCCCTGGATCTGCAACAGCAGCAGCGGGTCACTCGGTTCAGACCAGTTTTGATGTCAGCGTCTCCTCCCCAGCAGTGGGAGACCCCAAGGGACCCGCTCCAACGCAGCATGGTGCGGTGACTAATGCAACCTTGCTGGGCAGTGCTCTCTCCGCAGCGCCTGCCACGAGGCTGTCCAGCTCCATTTCCACGGCTGGCTCCACCGCTACTGGGAACTTCCTAAACAGACTGGTTCCTGCCGGGACCTGGAAACCCGGGGTGCAAGGAAACATCTCCCATGTCACTGAGGGCGACAAACCTCCACACAGAGCCACCATCTGTCTCAGCAAGATGGACATTGCCTGGATCATTCTGGCTATCAGCGTACCTATATCCTCATGTTGTAAGTTAATTGCCACTTTATTTTGCTTTCTCTTCCCTTAAAATTCCGATTTTGGCCCATGATTCAAGGACCAGGTGGAGAGCTAACAGAGGCAGGGCAGCTTGAGATGGATGAGAAGCAATCACTAGACAGAGTTAACATTCACTGACCAAACTGCTTAGCTTCAAAATGTAGGGCTAAAATGTTTACACTTAAAGCATACTTGCTCTGTTGCTATTAGAAATCACTTACTCTTTTGGGGCCCTTCACTTGAGGGTGTAACACAAGGCTGAACAACTCTAGAAGGCAAAGCAGCTTTACTTCAAGGTGTTTAAGCTGGTGACCAAAAATTGTACAAGTCTCAAATCTAGGAACCGCTGTATGCTGCCCTGGAATTGGATTTGAAAAGCCCACTGCTAACCCAAAGGATTAATGACAGTTGTAGTACTGATACCTTAGGAAACACCAGTTTTCCAGTGCAATAAAATATTTCATTGCAGGCAGTTCATGAACTATCAGATTTTGAAGTTTGATATCCAGGGTGCTGGTTTCCTCCATGTTAATTCTGAGTTTACAGCTGCTGAGGGAGCAGGAAGAGCTTGAAATCCTGGCCTTCAGACACCGGGAGTCAGCCACCTGCAGGATCAGGGCAGGCCAGGTTCCCAGAGCTGGCTTAGGGTCTCATCATTTGACTCAGTTACAAAAAAATACATGAGAAATTATGAAAAAGCTTGCGAGTGGATGCCAGGGTGTTTACTGCTTGGCTGGGTTCTGTCAGCGAGGTGGGACAAAGTGGGGTTTCACTGTTGCGGGGTGTGATTATAGTGATCTGTCTGGAGTGAAACCTTTGCTGTCTGAGGAAACATAAAAGGGTAGCAGCCAACAATATTGAGTATTAATTCTGTTATTTACAGCTATGAGCTGTACTGAGGACAAGGCTAGATGAGCTGACCTATCCAGTCTTGCACTTAGCTTACTTTTGCCAGAAAGGACAGCGCTGCTCTCTCCTGCCCTCTGAGGCACAGCCACCTACCTGATCCTGCCCCTCTCCTCCTGCCTGGGCCTGACACCTCCCTGGGACACTTTAGGAGTGCTGAAGTGGCCAAAAAATATTCACTTTGCTCTTTGGTACTTTCTGTCCACCCAGTGAGCTGAATCAGCTCCCCGCAGGATTTCATCTCAGAGCATGAGACCTGGAGTGGATGAGGCTGCAGGAATACACACCTGGAGAGGGAGCTGCAGTAATCCTTTCAGCAGCTGCAAATTACTGGATTGGCTCAGCATATCTATTAGACTTGTACCTCTGGGACTATCGGTTCTGCTATTGCCAACGTGGTTAAAACCACAAGTGAGAACAAAGCTTAAACCGAAAAGATGGACAATGAAAATAAAGAGAAACCAAAGCAGAGGTGTGCATACATACATCTGCAAAAGATGGAGAGGAGAAATGGGATGTAGCAAGCACAAGATGAGCAGCAATGATATTTGATGATCTGAAAAACAGTGCCTTGTCTACCAATCAGTAGAAATAGAGGATCAAATAAGTTCTTCCAAGCATTATGTTTTGGGCCAATATTCAGAAAGCAAGCTGATCTGGATAGAAAGCACCCAAATACAAAACACAAAATACAATACTGTACAACACAACCATAGGAAGCATGACCAGTGTGTGAATTGGTGTATGTCTCTGCCTGCAGTGTGCCATATATAAGCTAATAACTAATGATATTTATTATTATTATTAATAATAATAATATGAAGAGTCTTTTGGCAGGACTTCTAACCCACTATTCATTAAATAGTGGTGTTTAAACGTTCCTTATCATATGTGCCATAACAGTATGTGTTCATGTGACTGTCCCTATTCACTTGTATTTGTAAGCTGCATTTTTTTAAACGGCAGATGTTATTTTGAAAATTATGTATACCAGCTCTAAAAATTGAATATTTAAATGATTCAAATACTTAAGTCCTGCTTTCAGGGCCAGATTTCTGAGGATGGTCTTCAGTGGAACTCTCCTTTTAGAATCTGCGGATCCTCAGACACGTTTCAGAGTTGAAATAAATGGGATTTTTTTTTTGGATCTGGCCAAAGTGCCTAGGGAATTGCTTTCAGCCAAAAGTTATGCTGTTTAAACTATGCCATGGTAAGTGCTGTTCTACAGGCATAGGTTATTCCTGTAGGAGATGAAAAATATGTTAGAACCACCTAAAGCAGTTTTACCCAGAAGCGGACGTATTGGTCGTGGCTCCGCTGTGTGCGGCACCGCAGAGGGGCACGTTGTTCCCTGCCCCGCGGGCACCTGCGCACCTTCAGGCAGGGGGGTGCGGTGCGGGATGCGCGGCGTTCGGTGCGGGGCGTGCGAAGGGGACTGTCGCCACCTCCTGGGCGCAGGCGCCTGCAGCTGAGGACAGAAGGCCCCGCGCTGGCATTTTCTCATCACTGCTGGTCTAGAGGAGGCTGATGCCAAGAGACGGATGAAGCCATTTGGATTTCATGTCATCTTCAGGGGGTGAAAATGTTTTCGGTGAGAGGCTTCACACTGTTGTGGGCATGGGCTGAGAAAACACTGGCCTGCTCCTGCCTCGGGATGCTTAGAGGTGGAGGTATCGCGGATATCGAGACTCAGCCCCATGCTCTTAAATATCTGAGCTGCCTTAGGAGGGAACAAGCCATGGAGAAAGTCACTGAGGACTCCTGTCATAGCAGGTTATTGCTGCCCTGGAGCTGCAGGCTGGCGGCTCGGTGCTCAGGCTGGCACCTTCAAGGCTGCTGTCCAGACCCATGGAGTGGGACAGCAAGCCCTGAGCCACTACTGAGACACCTGTGAGCAAGGGTAAGTCCCTGCACCAGGGGGAAGGCAGCCCCGAGGCAGGGACATTAGCAACGCACCCTGGAAAAGAAGTGGAAGGAGGTGAGGAGAGGCAACTGGATCCTGTGCTTGGCTGCAGAGCTGCAGGAATCTAACTCTGCTCCCTTCTCTTGCTAATGAGGAGTGCCCCTGAGCCAGCTCACTGACCTCCAGGCTGTTTCCAGAGCCCTTGCAGAGCTGCACAGTGCCCAGCGCATCTCTCCTCTGCTGAGAGCCCTTCTGCCTTTCCTCATAATCCCTGCCCTGCATGAGAGGTGGCAAAGAGGCTGGAAAAGCCTTCCTTCTCAGGGGGCTTCTGGGCACAGATTGTGCTGCCCGAAATCCTCGGAAGGGAAAATGCATCATGACACTGCAGAGAGAGACACATCTGCCCCTCTCTGACGTGTGGCGCAGCAGGTTCCCATGCTCTGCTTGCTGTCACACCTTCTATTGACAGGCACCTGTTAAATGAAAACCTGTTGGCACTTTAACTTCGATAGCAGGGGAAGTGACCTGCTAGAGAGTGACCACAGGAGCCCTTGGCTCCTTGTCCTCACTGGAAGAAGTGCCCGGGCTGCTGCACTTCTCACGGATGAAAGACCCTACCAGGGCTCCTCCCTGCCCATCCCTGACATGGAGATTTGCACCTAAGAGCAGAAAGCAGCAGAAGGTTTGTTCAGCATCGCTGTGTCCTGGCATCTGAGCCCCACTGAGGACTGGCAGGTCCTGACAGCTGTGCTGGTGGCACAGCTCAGTGGCTAGAGCACTAGCCTGAAGACCTGGGCCTCAGGAGCTCGCCTCATGAAATAAGAGATGGGATTTAGCCTCCCTGTCCTTACAGTACATATTTCTTTAAAAATGCATAGTTTTCTTAGTCCCACTGAAATCCCTCAAAATGCTAGCCAGAAAAGTAATGCTTTGAATAGGAATGCATGAGCCACATCTGCTGCGTGAACCTGGGGAACTCATTTCGCCTTTCGGTACCTCAGTTTCATGGTATATATAACGGGTAATGTTGCTAAATGCCATTTGAGGGCTGCAAAAATGAAGGATTCTGTATCATTGCATTCCCAGGAAAGCAGTCATATATAACACGGATATCAGTATTTTCCACATGGCACAGTTTGAGTTGTTGTGGTGGTGTCCTTCAGGCAGCCTTGAACATTTTTTGTGCACGTGCATTTGTACGTGTGTGGGTGCCTGTCTCTGCAATGCAGAACAAGACACAATATGAACTCATTTGAAACCCCACTGTCCTGGTCCTTGGGCTCCCAGTACTTACATTTCTGTAATTACAGAATGACACAATAAAACGTGGAAGAACAGAAACTTGCAAATCAGATGCGCAAAAGTCAATTCATTCAGTCAGTTCTGCTGACATGAGAAAATGCAAGAGGAAGGCTGAGCCTCCAAATGTAGGCATCAGCAGAACTCAAAGAATATATGAAGAATTGCCTTGGACGTAACCCCACTTAGCTCACATTTCATGCACTGGGACGCTTTCCAAAATTATCTCACTCACTTTCTTCGTCACAAAACCTACGAACGTTTGTTTCCTGGTTTGAGGTGAAAGAGATCCCAGGCCCTGAGTCTAATCCCCGAGTGTGAGCTCAGGCTGAGCTGGAGAAGAGCCTCTTGTCTGCAGATGTAAGCAGCCGTGGTCAATAACCACACCCATCGTGATACCCGTGTCACAGCTAAGGCCGTACTGCTATAGACAGCCATAGTAAATGAGGGAAATCGAAAGAAATACAGAAAAACCACTATTTTAGTCACTGAGGCAAGGGTTCTGTAGAAATTTAGTTTATCTTATGATCTGCAGGCACAGAGAGAAGTAAATTAACATCCTTCGGTCCGAGTATTTCCTGACTTTTAAGTGCTTGCAACGTTCAGGTCTGTTAACATCATGTTTTCTGTGGGAGATGGAGAGTGGGGGAGGGGGGTATGCAGCTGTATGAGATGATTGGTAAAATATTTAAGTGAGTTGAAAGAAAAGACAGAAGACTATCAGGAAACCGTAAGGCGTTTGTATGATCTCATTACACTGCATTTATGAGACCAGTATTGAATATGGTGTATAATCCTGGTGGTTTATGTGTTTAAAAAAAAAGATTGGAAGATTAGGAGAGAGCCATGAAAATGATTTAAGAGCTGAGAAATGCCACATAACTCCACTTGTGTCATTATGTAGTCCAAGCAGAGGCTGAAGCCCGCATGTATAGGGGACATTCCCGACAGCGTAGTGGAAGATTTTAATAAAGAAGGCAGAAGGAGATTGAGGAAGTGGCGGATAAAGCTGGAGGTATTTAGACAACAAGGGGAATGTAAACATGTCCCCACAATGGCAATTAAGTATTGAAACAAACTTTGAGGTAATGGGGTGGATATCCTGTCACTCCATGCCCCTAAATGAAGCTGGGTATTTCCTGAGATGTGCTGTACCTTAAATACAGCTTATGGTTAAGTTAACAGGTGAAAGTCTCCTGTTGTGCAGGTGTTGTGCAGGTGAGAGTAGGTGATGAACATGTTCCCACCAACCTAGAAAACTGTAAATCTGTGAGAATCTCATTTCTCCAATTTGTGAGATGTATTATGTCCTGTTTCATGGGTGGGAGGACAGATAATGCAGGTGTAATTTGCCTTAGGGCTGGAAAGAGGCCAGCATCAGAGCTGGAGCTTATCAGCAGCTCTTAGCCGCTGAATGTATGAGTTGACTTTGCTCCCTCTGGACTAGCAGCAGGTCCAAGGATACAGGTTAGAAATGCTTCTGAACCCCCCAGACCTCCAGTGTCCACAAAATTGCAGAGACCCCTGATATTTGCTAACATGTGTCGTAACCTCTGTACGGGGAGCTTCAGGCTGACACAGGGACAACGCTGAAGTGTCCTTTTCGTGGCAGTTGCTGTTGACTTTAACATGGAGCAGACAAAGGGAAAAGTTGGCTTAGCTTTTCTGATTCCCAGAAAGCGTCCAGGTGAGTATTTGAAAACCGGAGAAGAATTAGCCCTTTTTCTGCCCAAAGGGTTGGCCATCTCTGGAAGAGAGGTGATACATGGCAGCACTGAACAAGAGCACTTTCTCGTCCTTACAAGGACATCACATACCAGGAAAGATAAGCAGGATATTGCATTGGCTACTGTTTGTCTCTTCAGCTCTGTTGTTATTATTGGCATTTCTCCCTTCCAAACCATCTCTGCCCTCTATTTCATCTACTTAATGTTCTCACTGGCCATCACAACTGTCTGTCTGGAAAGAGGTTTTTCTGCAATACACATAATTCTAATCATGGGAGCAAATAGATATCTAAGAATATTGGTAAAGCTGTACCCTGTTCCTAGTATTGTTCTGGAAGTGTAATGTCCTAGGTTAGCTACATTAATGTCACTAAAATATGCCCCAAAAGGGTAGTTAATATGAAATGAAGAGGGAATAGCCCCATGCGAGCTCTCATGTCCTTTCTCAGCCTCTTAAATCAGATCTCCTTTGCTTTGAATTGTGGCAGCTTAGGTAGACAGCCTTCTGCTAAAATATGTTATATTCAAGGAAGCTCAGGAACCCGTTTTCCAAGGCCTTCCATCTGTTTGCTCCTGTGTGCACTAAGGTCAGAGGCCAAGAGCATAATTAAGGGAGAGAGCATTATTGCTATATAGCAGCCATATCTGCACGTGGCAAGGCCATTTCCTGCTGGAAGAAGCAGAGATCCCTCTCAACTCAGTGTCACCGGCTTTCCAGCCCCTGAACCCCAAATCTGATAATTCTCTGTCAGCAGCCACAACATTTTATAAGCTGTAAAACCTCAGGCTTTCAAAATACTTGCACAGCGATAAGAGTTGGCTTTACTGGGACTCTGGTAGGCTCAGGCACCTTCAGAAACACTCTGTGCCTTAGGGAGCACTTGTTGCTTGAGTACCGAAAAGCTCCAAGGTCTGTTGACTCTACCCACATAGTGGGGTGGACTAAACATAGGTCCTGCTTCACCTTCTAATCTTAACAAGCCTGCAGGCTGGGCTGGGACATGGAGAGCATATCAGCAAAGCAGGGAGCAAAGATGCAGCCCTTCATCAGGATGGGCATTTCCCCAGGCAGACAGAGCAGTTCTGGTGGCCCCATGGGGTGCCTGCCTATGGGCACGGCAGCAGGAGTCGCGCTGTCAGCAGATGAAGTTATTGGTGACAGAAAGACTGAAGCAATAGGAGTCAATGATAATAGTAAGTGTGATGATGACCTGCTTTTTTGAAACATGCGGGAACGGTGCGGGAGATTTTTCCATTAGTTTCGGAAGAAGATTTATAACATCAGCTCACCTTTCCCTTTGAATGAGACATAAACTGCCTGAACTCAAACCCATTAATTTTTTTTTTCTTAGTAGCTTATTCCTTTGTTTTAAATAGAGCTCTAGCCTTGCACTTTTCTATTGCCATTTTATGTGAGTAGATGGGATAAGAAATTAGACCCACGGCCTATGGGTAGCTGCAATGTTTGTCAAAACATACAAAGCAGCTTTGACCTCCCTGCAGTCTTTTCTTTCCTCTGGGCTATAATTCTAATAAATAATTTTGGCTGTAGCTGAGAAAATAATGTATTTTTCTGCTTCATGAATATTTTCTCTCTTCTTTTCTGCCATGAGGGGTTTAGAAATAACAGAGTGAATTTACAGCAGGGCATTCTCTATTTCACAAGTACAAATCAAAGCAAGTACATGTCCAGTTACCTGTCTGTATGCGTAAATCAGGTAGATTACAAGCACAACTGGCCAATTAATTCCGCAGGTGTAAGATAAGTTCACAGAGCTTACGCATTACTCCTCTGAACAAACCCTTGTACACGGCTCAGCTTCTGCCGGAGCAAGGACCAGTGGGAGCAGTAAGTTTGCTACAGTGGGTTGTGTGGCTTTTGTAAAATTGCCCAGATTGCCCATCTGAATTGCAACAGAGATGACTAAACCGAAAGCAATTCCAGAAAATAATGCTTAGCCAGCTTTGTGTTCGCCAGCCCGCTGTGGGAGTGTTACCCTGGCATCTCTGCAGTCAGGGGGGTGCCTGTGGCCTTGAGGCCAGACAGACAATTGTATCAAGTTTCACTTGCTGGTCACTTTGTCTTGCCTAACTGCTTTGCTTTAAGCTCAAATATTTCAGGTTGCAGAAGCTTAAAGTGTGCTCCACAGATAAGAAAAAAAAATCTTGGACACCACTAATGCCCAGGCAAGTGTAGGGAATGGATTATGCTTATCAGTAGATCCCACATCCTGATACAGCTGATGGAGACAGCAGGAAAGCCCCAGCTCTGGGGTTAATGATATCCTGGAAGCATAAGCAATGTGAGACCGGTGCCAGAGGGGATCTCCACCCCACCTCATCACTGTCTCATCCTGCTCAGGAGCCCATCTGTTCCCCTCGCTGGTCGATGGTGTTTTGGAGCATGGTCACAAAGTACCCAAAATCCAAGTTACAAATGGCAGGTGACAGAGGCAGGGATCAGTGGCACTTCAGGGCAGAAGCTTTTGGTACCGGAGACGTGCAACTACATGCGTTTATGAATTTGGTATTTGAGCCTAGGACAGGCGTCTCTCGTTTGCTAATGTGCTCATCGCTGCAGTGTCTGAACTTGCTAGAAGCAGAAAAGATCTGTGCAGAGGCATCCTTCACAGTCCCTGGGGAGTGCCTTCTGTCCTCCAGGGTCTATAAATCTCTGCTTAGGTATTAAAATACCATCAGTTACAACACCAAAGCTTTTCATTAGCCAGGCAGCCACATCTTGAAGATGATAAGCTTACATCAAAAAGTAAAAGCTGCATATTCTGCCAAGCCCAAAGCCTCATTTGCTTGGCCAGATTCTGGCTTAATTGTGTGGGGTTAGGAGAGAGCTAGATCTGACTGAGAGTGGATCATATGAATGAAGGTCAACATCCCTCTCCTTAAGTAATGTAAAAAAAAATCCATGGTACTGATCAGTCCTTATTGAAAAGAAATAACCAAATTTTTGACATGTTTCTATTGACAGCAGTTCTGCTGACAGTCTGCTGCATGAGGAGGAAGAAAAAGACATCTAACCCAGAAAACAACCTGAGCTATTGGAATAATGCTATTACCATGGACTACTTCAACAGGCATGCTGTAGAGTTACCAAGAGAGATCCAGTCCCTGGAGACATCAGAGGTACCTCACTTGCAGAACTAGTGCCTGAGAACTGTAACTGAAGCCATGCTGGGAGAAAGGGAGAGGAAGTCATATAAATAAAGCCTTGAAATCCCTATGCATATTCAGGGAAACAGCTTTTTGAGAAGGACTCAGCCCTACACGTGGTATAAAATGGCATAAATATGTCACCAAAACTGGATTGCCATCCTATTCCCAGCCATTGCAGATATGTTCCTTATTGCTGTGTTGTCAGCAATAACCACCTCTAGGTGTATTTGTTCCCAGGTTCCTTTTGAGGCTACAACCAATGTCTAGCCATACCACGACTGGCTTGTTACTGACAGTCGGTCTTCTAATCTGTCTATGGTGTGCGTGCCACACAGTGTCAGATAAGGGGAGGTTGTGGGAGTTAATGCAAAGAAATTTTGTGCATTTATGTCTCAGGAGCTGCCTATAGCTTTTCAAATAGCAGTTCAGGGGGTGAGTGCTTCCAGTATATAAGCAATCAAAACATTGATATATGGCAGCCTGTAGTGGTGGTGTATACTCATCAGCCTTTACTTAAGGGATCTGACTGGTTCAGTGGGATTATTCATATATAGGCAGGTGATCCTACTGATAGAAATGTTATTTCCTATCCTCATAGATAGAGAAGAATAATTTAGCTTAGTTCAAAGGTGTTTACAGCCTAGAAACAGTGGAGAGTTTGGGTTTATGCTAAAGTGATTTTCAGATGAGCCAGCTGACTAACAGCTCATTAAATAAATTTTAAAAAGTGTTTAGAAAGGAACCTCTGAGATGTGATTAGACAAGCACTCACAGTCCCTTCATTAACCCCACTTTGGGCAATCATTTTGCTCAAACTAAGGCAGGACCTGATCTAGAGTTAACCAAGAATCAAATTATAGACCTATTCACATATAGGATGGTCTCCAAAAGCTGACAGCTGCGTCATTTAAACCTGATCAGAACATGACTGAACTGGGGCATGCTCGGGTGCCCTGGAGCCATATATGTGGTTTTCTGACCTTAAAAAGGAGCTGAAAATGCATCTTTGAGGAGTCAAGCCCAGCTCAAATTCTGCTAAGGGACCTGAAGTTTGGTGCATCTGACTTCTGGGTCCCCAGATTGAGAAAGAATCAGCCTGACTCTCAGCGGAGCTCTTCACTCACAGCTCCTACTGCCTGAAGAAGGGTAAACCCAGCTCACCAAACTTAGGTCTCTGGGAGCCGGAGGGGGCTCTTTTGGAGGACTGGGAGAAGTGATAAAAATAGCAGTCCATTCCTCCTCACATGCATTCGCTTGGGGCAGCGGAGTGCCCTGTGTGCTCATGAAGTGTGAGGGGTGTGAAGTGCTCACCCTGCTTCTCTGTCTTTCTCCTAGGACCACCTCTCTGAGCCGCGCTCCCCTGCCAACGGCGACTACCGTGACAGCGGGATGGTCCTCGTCAACCCCTTCTGTCAAGAAACACTATTTGTAGGACATGAGCAAGTCTCTGAAATATGACCCCACAGCTGCCTGTGTATTGCAGCTTCATCTCTACTGTCTCCAGATTATAAATAAATATATATATATTATAAATATAACCTTTGTGTAACCCTGAATTACAAGAAATGTTTTCAGCTTTTCTTTTCTCCCTCAGAATTGTCAGCCCCTTTTTTATAAGTGTGGTAAAACTTTACAGAACAAACTGTGGCTTTATAAAATAAAGGTATTTCTAAGCAAAACACCTGTCAGGGGGACTGTTTTCTTCACTGTCGTTTACAATCCACTGCTAAATATTCCTGGTCTGGAAGAATACTGGGTAAGGCTGGTTTTGGTGTAGGCAGCATGTGTTGCTTACAGCATCCTGCATCCTACATGACATCACTCTGCCTGACCATGAGCTTTCTGCTCAGTGACCATCCCTTCTCCTACTGTAAAATGACTTTGGTCACTCCTTTTCTTCAAACTGCCAAGCTAGAATACAAACCAGACAGGACCAGCTCCGTTGCCAGAAGCAGTCCGTACAGCTCGTGTGCCAGTCTTGTGTCCTTTGCATGACTCCAGCACTGCCTGAGCACCAACTGGGATGAGACCTTCAGAGTCTGCCTTTCAGTAAAAACCAGCCAGGGTCTGCCAGCTTGGCATGGGGAGAGCAGGGGAGGCGGGCTACAGTGGTTTCATAAACAAACCTGATGCACCCGTGGGATCCAGCGTGACGCAAGACATGGGCAAGCCTGTTGGGGTGGTAATGTTGCCCCATGGCATTTCTATGTTGCCTTCTTCAGACATAAACAGGAGAGACAAGTTCCAGTTTGAGCTCCAAAACTGTTTTACGTGAGCAAGGACAAGAATTACTTTTTTCCCTGCATAAATGTCCCAGCCCCACTACATGCTGGACTCACAGCTGCTCCACTCCAGCCCAGTGTGTCCTGAATTATTTCCTAAAGAGCAAACAGCCTCAAAAGAAGGCATGTAAAGTGTCGCCTTCAAAGGAACAGAAACCTCCTTTGAATTTATCAGATATCTGGAAATCTGGTGACCAGGGACTCCCACCAATTGAATGCTGTGGCTTTGACCACATTTCCATTTCCCCACTGTTTTATTTATCTTGCGTGCTTAGACTGTTAGTACCATTGAATCAAGTTTCCCCCCCCTCTCCTCTCTGAGACCTTCCTTCCACCCTTAGGAATGAAAACTCAGTGTTTCAGAGCAAAATGGCATTTCAGTCCTACAGAGTGAAGCACTGGATTGCAGCCAGTAATGGTGTTAGGGGAACAGTAGGGGTGAACGAAGCTTAAATGGTGGATTAAAAATAGGTTGTTACAAGAAGAGGCTAACATGGAACATGGAATGGCTTTGCCTGAATCGATGCTCTCTCTTTGAGTAACCCAGAACTTTTACCATGGGACCAATTTTCAGTTTTGCTTCTCAACTTGCCCTTTTTTGTATCATTCAGCAAGTGAAATGGGCTCTGTCTTTTGAGGTCTCAAGCTGTCCTCTCCCCACCTGTGGCCATCAGTCCTTGTAGATTATTTTCTACCTTCACTTCTCACTTATCAGGAGCAGTCTGTGAGGCAACAAGGCATTGCCCCCTGCTTCAGCTGGCTGCTCACTGCCATGGGCTGCTCAGGTTTATCACTTGGTTGCATAAAAAAGGAAGCTTGGGCAGGACAGGGTTAGCGTGGCATCACTAACCATATGCCTCATTCAAGGTGAGCCATGACTGCTACCAGAAAAAGGAATTATAGCAGCGACACATCTGGTCCAGCTGTTCCCACCTGCTGGCAGCGTCCCAGTGGCTGCGGTTAGTCAGAGCAACCTGACAACTTTACTAAATGATGGCTGGAATCAGATCAAGACTGGCTCCCCCTGGGACCGGGGCAGGCACAGAGGCATTGTGGCCTCTCCTTTCTCCCTGTCCCACTTCTACTGTGCTGAGGCACAAATCTGAATGTGGGCCACAGGCTTCCTAAAATTAGAATATTGTAATGTTATAGGGGCTCTTCTAAATACTTGATTTTCTGATCAGAATCAGAGAGTAATGCACTGCTTGCCTGCAAGGTGACCAGGGCAGGCAGGAAGACATGGCTGTGTATGGACATGGATGGGCACTGTGGGAATATATCTTTTCACTGTGGGATAAATGCTGTGCAATATGATATCTGCAGTCCTCAAATACTAAACGGCCTCCTGGAAATCACTGGTTGATTAGAGAGTAAAATCTTCCTGAGGGTCTTGCCAAGAGCGGAAGCAATTCTGTGAGGGCCTTCATCTTCTATTTCAACACGGAGGTGGAAAGAGAGAACGAGGTGACAGAGAACTAAATTCACTTCTTTGCAAAAAGTCCGTATTTTTTATATTTGTTTTCTGTATGCTGTATTGCTTTTGCAAGGCAGATTATTTTTTTTTTTTTATTTGACACAGAGCAAATACACTGAAAATGTTGTGTAAGAAATACTGGAGGATTCCTCTCATTTAGCCAGCACAGTTTGCTTTGTAATCTAAATGCAGAATGCCTAGAAACTAGCGAAAAATGTTTGCAAAGGTGTGAGATGCTGCACTACCTCAGGCTTCACACAACCAGGAAATGGTGACCTGACTGTAGGCAGTCTCGCGGTTCTCAAACTTAAAAAACAAATGAAACAAACTCCAGCTGCAAACCCTGTGAGCCAGGATTAGGCCCCCGTGGAAGACAGGGATTTCTGATTGTATTCCATCTTGCCAAAGACTCAGTGCTGCCCCTGTACAAACCTACATGGCATTAGGGCAATGCCCAACATCAGCACATTACAGGCATGCCTACAAAGATGCACACACGGTAATCCCACACTGGAACCAGTCTGGCACCCTGGCTGTGAAGCATCTCTGTGTGTAGGTAGAAAAAGCTATAGCTGACATTGTATAGTGGAGGACCCCAATGTACTCCTGCTTATGTACGTATAAACTACCCACCTGATCACTAGTCGCTAAAGAGCAGTGACATAAAAAGAAGAAAACTCCCCCCTCCCCTGCAATAAGTCTTAAGGATTGTTTTGCCCTTTTCTTTCGGTTCACGGTTGCCTCACTTTGTCCACGTTACGCAGTCAAAGTGAAAGGGGCCTTTGTTGAACAGACCAAGTGCTGTTGATAATGAGGATAAACCAGCTGAGCAGGGGTAGGTGTGAGGGTGCTTGTCTCTAGTTAAAATCTGCTGGGTTTGGGGCAACGTGCCTTCATCGGGTGGTGAAGCCAAAGCACAGAGAAATCCAGAAGCTGCAGCAGGGCCGAGGGAGCATTCGAGGCTCTGCAGCAGTGAAAGGCTGGCTTGGCTCAGCTGTGGCCCTGCTGGCTCCTCAAAAGTTTGGGCTTTGCTAATGTTAGGTAACGTCTTGCTTCAAGAGACTGTCTGGAGCAAGCATGGGCGCGAGCAGCTGATGCGTTTGTAATATATGTCTAGATACCTGTGGGTATAAGGGTAGGAAATAGTCTGGTGTCAGTGTAGAAAACACCGCTGGTATTTTAACACGTACGTTGTACTGAATCCCTGTCCCGCTGTCCCTGTAAACACCATTGTGCTTTTCATCTGCCACATTTGCAGCAGCAGCAGCAGGGAGATTTCCCCTGAAATGGGATTGCTGACCCAGCGGCCGCCCGGACAATGTGACGGGCGCTCCCGGGCAGCACAAAGCCCCCCTTCCAGAAAGCCATCGCACAAAGCCGAAACCCCGCGCGAGCCCCAACCTGCTGGGCTCGGCACATCCCTCCCGCCAGTGCGGGACGAGGCGGCCGGGCTGAGCGGCGGCGCTCGGCGGGCTGGAGTGGCAGCATGCCCTTGCCGAGGCGCCGGTCGTCCTTCTTGGGGCAGCAGCCCTCTTCCTCCGCGGCCGAGAGCTCGGGGCCGCCCGGCCGCCGGGTGAGCGTCGGGGGTGGAGGGAGCCTGTCAAGACCCCCCGGCGTCTACGTGGGCACCGTCCCCACCGGCGGCGTGAGCAGCTTGGGCACCCGAGTGTCCCGCAGGGCCCTGGGCATCAGCAGCGTCTTCCTCCAGGGTCTGCGCAGCTCTGCTGCTGCCGTGCCCCTGGCCCCGGGGCTGGAGAAGGGCAGAGGTCTCTCCTACGAGAGCCTGAATGGCTGCTTGGTGGAGTACATTGAGAAGGTGCGAGCTCTTGAGCAGGTCAACCAGGAGCTGGAGGAGCACATCAGAGTCTACCTGGACAAGAAAGCGGCCAGTGTGGGCAGCTGGGGAGCACTGCGGGAGAACTGGGAGGCGATTTACCATCAGGTGAGCACCAGTGCACTGTTGGCAGCGGGGGGGGACGAGGGGAGCTTCACGAGTCATTAGCAATCCTGAGCAGTGAGGGCTGACGCTGATGATGAACGCCGTCTGATTTCAAGGCACGGTGCCCTAGACCGAGGGTTTTAAATTTATCTTCATGATAATTAGCATTATCATTTCCCAGTGTGCTGTGGAAAAATGCCTATTAAGCAGGAGAATTGCCTCAGGCATCCTGCGCATGGGGGCGATTGAAATGCACCCCAAGGCGCAATAGTCTGGGCTGATTAAAATGGGTGGGTTTTTTCCTTATTTTTTTTTTTCTTAGCTGTGGTTATTAACACTGAGAATCAAAATTATTAAAAGAAAACTGTTAGGACTGAATTAGTTTATCCCTCAACATGATATCATTACAAGCATGTTGGTTTTTTTCTTTAATTAGCAATTCAGATTTTTACTTTATTCCCTTGTTTGCTTAATCACATTTTCAAAAACTCTGTTTATTTAAAAATAATAATTACATTGCTACAAATGAATGACTCCTTTCCTTCCCCTCGTTGCCACCCCACCATTATTTACTCCCACCTTCTCTGTACGGCACAGGTTGCGGGTTCTTTGGGAAAGTGTTTATTGTGGGGATGCGAAATGGTGTTTGCATTGACCTCATGGACAAGAAACAGTTCCTTTTGCTGACTAGCAAGACTTTGAGGGTGATGTCCTGCTTGCAGCAAACACAGGGTTCTGTCCCCTGAGGTCTCGATGCACCTCGCAAGTCCTGGCTTCTTGGTTCCCAGCCAGCAGGAGTGGACTGGAGCCCACGGAGCTGGACCCTGGCATCTTGCGCATCTCTTCCTGCCAGCACTTGGGCAGGCACAGAAAATGGCGTCGGCAGGTCTTCAGAAAGCCCGAAAGACAACTTCAAGTTACCTGGTACAACTGTGTGTTTTACCTTGGGCTGGCCAGAGTTTTACTGTGGCGTAGGAAAGACAG